TTATGTTTCAGTCATATATATATATATTCATATTCTTTTTCACTATAGGTTACTACAAGATACTGAATTTAGTTCCCTATGCTGTATAGAAGAAACTGGTTGTATATCTATTTTTTTATAAGCCTATTTTCACTAAGTGTAAAATTTACCATATTTACTATGCTGATCCCTCTTCTAGGTAAAGAAGCATGGGGAGCTAGAGTTTGCTAAGAACAGTTATGTCCAATGAAACTATATATAGATAGGTAGATATAGATATTGTTATTGATACAGATATATGCATAGATATACGTCAGGCTTATTAGATGTATAGATCAGGGAAATGTCACTCACACCGAGCACCCAGTCTTCCCTAAAACTTCAGCCACCATTTCTAGAGTATTTGCCATATGCCAATCACTAGGGATGTGAAGATGGATAATTGTCTTCTGGAGGAGACATACGGAAAGGGACAATTTCAAGTGAAGTAGTACTTGCCATGAGAGGAGCAGGTCCAGAATGGTGACCTTTGGGGTGTGGGGAGTTTGCCAGCCTGAAGAAGACAAGGTGGAAGTTGAGTACTGAAGAATGAGCAGGAATTAGGTCCTTGATGAAGCAAGGTATTCCGAATAGAGAGAGCTGCTTCAGCAGTGGTACAAGGCACGGGGTAGCATGTTTTATGGGAGAAGAAAGCTTGTTGTGATAGTGTTATAAAGTGCAGAGTGGGAGATGGCAGAAGATGCAGAATGAGGCCAGGTTCTGAAAAGTAATGTTTTGCCAAGTGGACGAGCTTTGACTTTATTATAGAAGCAAAGAAAAACTACTGACGTGTTTTAATTGCTGGAGTAAAACTGTCAGATTTGCAAATTAGATGAGCCCCTTTGGCAATGAAGTGAGTCAAAATGGGAACCCAGGAGGCTGGCTTAGGGGTCACTGAGAGAATCCAGTCAAGAAGAGATTAGCAACTGGACTAGGATAGTGATGGGATGGGTTGGAAGGAGGAACAGATTTGTGAAATACAGGGTGTAAGATGGACATAATTAAGTGGCATTTGATTTAGTGAAGGAAGAGCATGATAAGTCAGGAATAACTGGTAGATTTCCCGTGTGGTAGCCAGATAAATCTCGGTAGCCGACATGGGGAATCAGAAGGAGGATCAGGGTTGGGCATGTGAGAGATGATGAATTCAGTTCTGAACACGCTGATATGAGGAACCTGAAAGCTGTCTATTTGGAGATTTCCAGCAAGCAGTTACACATATGATCCTAAAACTTAGGGGGCAGATGGGGCCAGTCAGCCATCAGTGTACACATAGTGGCTTTAAATATAGTAGAAGAGCATGTGGATTGAAAAAGCATGGCACTGAGTGGAATCATCAAGAAATCCAACATTTCTGAGTGACGAAGAGTAACCAATATAGGGGACCAAGGTGGAACTGTTCAAAGTCTTTAGAAATGGGGCTCGTTTTCCATAAATTACTTATGAAAATGGATAAATATGGTCTGTATAAAAGAAAAATCAGGCAAATTGCAATTATATTGAAATGCAGCTATTAATGCCCCGTGTCAGCCTGGATAGAGGACCCTGGCAGAGAGAAGTAAGCCCCTTCATTGGAGTCAGCATTTCAAGTCTTAGACAAAAGACACCTCCTTAAATGTTTAGACTGTTTTAAGCTGAGAGGAATAGAAAATATATTCAGTAAAAGAACTGGGATGTGAGAAAACCTTGACTGACTAGAGCCACAAGCTCTATCTAATAAAATAAAATTTAGGAAGGATTAAAGGGTCAGTAGCCAAGTACAGGATGGGAAAATGTGACTTAGCAGTTGATCATAGAAGGAAAAAACTTCTAGGGACTAGTTGATAATTAACTTAGTTTGAGTCAACAGCAGGAAATGGCAGCCAAGAAAAGGTAAGATGATTCTGACTGACTGAATTAAAGCATAGTGTCTAGAACAGTGGGTCTCAAACTTTAATACACCTGAGAATCAGCTGGGGAAATCTTTACAACTCCTTCTGCTCAAGCCACACTCCATAGATTCGAAGTCTCCATCTGGTGGCCACGGGCAACATCTTTCTTTGGTCCTGGGAGACAGGGAGCATGGCAGGGGCCAGAGGGATGGGCGGAAGGTAGAGGGTAGCTAAAATGTGAAATATTGTCTATATTTTAAAAATCAAGAAATCTCATGTGAGCTTAACTTTCAGGTTCTCTTAAAAACTGATAAAATTCAGCAAATCTGAGCCCACCATACTTCATACATGGTCACTTGGGACTGAGTAACTGCTGCCTCTTTAGAGCAGGCCTGTCCTCTTCATCCAGCCCTCAGTTTATTTACTTACCTTTATCAGACAAGTTTCCACAGATGCTTGAGTTGGTCTGTGCATACAACAGATTACTATT